TTGTCACGCTGTCTGTCAAACATTAACGGGGCACAGCGTTCTGTTAATGCCAACCTAGACAAATGTGAGCCACCAGTGAGAAAGCCTCCTCTTGTGACTCCAGTTCTTTGTGAGAACTTAAGCAAGCCACTTTTGTTCTCTAGTTGTTGACTTAATTTCACAATAACCAGGCTTAATTAGATGCTAAACATGACCCAAGAAACTCAGTGCTGTCACTAGTCATTGTTATCTCTACTTTAAGTGGATTTGAAGGGCTCTGAGAAAACACAGGACAGGAATTTCTGGGCAAAAGAGTGTGAGAGATCAAGACAGTGCTTCTCATCCTAGGGGCTTTGGTCAGCTGAGGAAACAGGAGGGACAAGAAAGCCAGATGAGGACACTGGAAGACCCTTGTCATGAAAATCGCTTTAATGAAAAATGAGATGGCTGGGAAAATTCACCCATTCACTACACAGTGTAGCCACCCAAATACATAAAATTAACTGCATTTAAGAAGTGAGATGGGGCAGTGGTGGTACAGGCCTTTAATCCCAGAACTTGGAAGGCAGAGGCAGGCGAATCTCTAACTTCAAGGCCAGCCTGGTCTGCAGAGCGAGTTCCAGGCCAGTCAGGGCTACATAGAAACCCTGTCAAAACAAAAAACAAATTAAGATAATTGAGAGGTTTTTTGGTGATCTAGCCTCTCCCCAGAGGTGGCAGGACTTGTCTAGAATCTTACACAGTTTGCTGTCAGGCACAACCAAGACTAGGCTACTGGCGGCTGATTCCAACTGAGTGCTAGAAAAGCCGTATGCATAGCAGAGGGGCTATAAAACAAGACAACCTTCCATGCTGGCTCTGCCTCTGCCTCTTCCCATCACACTCCTTGCTCTGGCCACCACCTGTGTCATAGCTCACTCTGTCCACAGTCACTCTGGTTCTCATCTCCAGCCCATCCTATAAAGAAACCACGTCTGGAACTCTTCCTCCAAGCTCCTCAAGAAACACTAAATGCTCCCTTCTCTGGACTTCAGGACACGCACATCTTACATTACTAGACTAAGATCTTGGTGAGGCACATCCCCCCTGGGCTACATCAAACTGGACCAAGCGTCTGTGATCAGACACCCAGTGTATAATAGACATTAGCTGAATGAGCATAGTTATGTTCTAGTTTCATTTCTATTGCTGTGATAACATACCATGACAATGAGCAACTTGGGGAAAGAAGGGTTGTTTTTTTTTTTTTTTTTTTACTTAAAATTCCAGGTTATGATCTATCATTGAGGGGAAGTCAAGATAGGAAGTAGAAGCAGGCCCATAGTCAAAAGCAGAAAGAAATGAATGCACAAATCCTTCCTTGTTTGCTTGCTCTTAGTTAGGTTTCTCCTTTCTTACACTGTTCAGGAGCCCCTGCTAGGGAATGGTGCCTCCCACAATGGGCTGGGTCATCCTATACCAATGAATAATGAAGACAATTCCCCATACCGATGTGATCTAAACACTTCCTGACTGAGACTCTCTTCCCAGGTGGTTCTAGGTTGTGTCAAACTATCAGTTGAAACTAACAAGCATGAGTTGATTTCCTGTTTTCCATCAGGAGAATTGCTTAATCATGGCTAGCTAAACATTTTATAACCCTGTAACTTAGATCAAGAACTGTGTTCTACTAACCATCATGAGACAGGCTCTCTTTACCTAGTTCTGACTGTTCTCGAACTTACTATGAAGACTAGACTAGCCTTGAACTCACAGTGCTGCTTCTGCTTCCCACGTGCTGGGATTGAAGGTGTGTGCCACAATGGCCAGCAAAGATTGTATGTGCCAGTTACCTTGGGGAGGAGGGCTTTTTTTGTAATTTTGTCTGATTTGTTTTGTTTTGTTCTGTTTTTCCTGGAACTGAGGACTGAACCCAAGGCTATGCACTTGCTAGGCAAGTGCTCAACCACTGAGCTAAATCCCCAACTCCAATTCTCAAATAAACAAATAAACAAATGACAAAAATAAACCACAACACAAAACCTTAGCTAATGACTCTGGAACCCACTTCTGATTCTCCCTGCCATTGCTCCCTACAAAGGCACCTACATTTCCCAAGCAGTGACTCAGAGCACACATGCAGGACGGTTAGGTACTTTGTAGAACGCCATGCTGGAGTTCCCGCTCCTCCTGGAGAGGCTGTGTGGGCCCAGCAGACATCTGTCACCGCAGCACCTGCCACCTCTCAGACTTGCATTTGGAGGGGGTTGGGGGTGGGGTGAGACGTTCACAGCTCAGACAGACTCACAGGGAGCTTTCACTTCATTATTCTACCCTGAGTTGAAATAAATACTTATTTATTCACCAAAGCATACTGGAATATGCAGAATGGCTCTCCTAAAGGGCTCAATAAAGCTGAAATATGTGTGGACTCTTAATAATTTTACAATAAACTACACTTTAGAATCAATTGCTCTGGCACCAAGAAAGTTGCCCGACTGATGGATTGTGGTGCTGGCTGGCTGGCTGGTTGACTGGTTGGCTGGCTGGTGTGTGTGTGTGTGTGTGTCTGTGTGTGTGTGTGTCTGTGTGTGTCTGTGTCTGTGTTGTACTCTTTTAATGAAAGTGTGAACAATCTGGAAAAAAATTCAGACATCCCAGAAACCATAGTTCTACCGAGGTAAGGCCAGTTGAGACATTTTTTTTCTGATGAGAGCTCCAGAGTTGAGGAAAGCCAGAGGCACTAATCAAGAAAATGAGGTATCAGGGTGGAAATATTCAACTCAGAAGAAGGGGTTGAGAACAGGCAGAAGGAACGAGTAACCAGCCATCAACTGAGGACTAGAAACCTCCACTACTCCTCATGAATGGTTATTATCCCACTTTGACAAAGGGTCTGTGATGATTAATCTTGATTGTCAGTTTGATGGGATTCAAATCATGGAGGAGACAGCCGTGGGGCGTGCCTGTGAGGGTGCTCTGGGGAAACTTGAACTGAGGTGAGACAACCCACTCTGCACAGGGACAGTAGCATCCCCAGTACCAGGTCCTGGGCTGCATGAAAAGGAGAACATGAGTGGAGCCCGGATGTTCAAGTGTTCACCTCTCTCTGCTTCCTGGTTGCAAACGCAATGAGGCCAGCACTTTATGCCCCATCTCCATGTCTTCCTGCCACAGTGGACTCTATCTCGTCACACTTCACTGAAGTAAACCCTTGCTTCCTCAGTTACTTTCCCCCAACATTTTGTTATAGCATTGAGAAGTTACTAACACAGAGTCCGGTGGAGGAGCTGTCACGTGAGCATCTCATGCTCCCTCTCATGTGAGGCCCTGCCCGCTTCTAGGAAACAGTGCCTCCATCCCTGGTGTCATGCGATACTGTGTGGGGCTTTCCAACCTCTCATGCCAGCATGGAGAAAGGGGACAGGAGTTATCTAAAAATGACCTTTCAGATCTAAAGGAGAGGATTTGTTCTGAAGACCCTCGGGTTCTCACTCCAAGAGTCGGGTGCTAGGTTCAGGCCTCCAGAAGCCACAAGACCCAAGAACACCAGGGTATGGTGTGGCCGCCAGCGTCTCTTAATGACATTGAAGACACTAGGTACAGTCAATCACAGCCAGCCTTTAATTCAATCTTCCTTTTGGCATGATCATTCTCAGTGCCAAACCTAGGCCTCAGGTCTTGATATCTCCCACCCTTAGCAGAGCTCCAACTCCTTGGATCCTAAATAAATTACCCTGCTAGGTCCTCATACCCTTAAATCCAAATGTGTCCAGGCTAGGATGAGAGGAAGGGCATGTAAGACTCAGCAGTTGCCTGGGACTGTGTGAGCTACAGATGTACATAGGCATCCTAGAGATGGGATGGGGTGGGAGCCCAGCACTCCCAGGCTGGACTGCAGCCAACGCCCTAGGTTCCTTTTAGCTGGAGAGCTTTTGTGGGACGAGCTGAATTTATTTGGGGTATAAGGAGATGGGCTATCCCCTCTAGCTAGCACAACTAGACCCAGAACTCTACAATGTGAAGAAATAGTCCATTCATCCACGCAATAAGCATTGATTAAGCATCTATTATGCTCTAGTCAGTTACTAGGGGTACACAGATGGACAAGACAGACTTGGTCTGGACTTTATGAAGCTTAGAGCCTGGAGGAGGTAAAGAACTGTAAGCAGGGCTGGTGAGACTGCTCAATGGGTGGGAGTGCTTACTGTTTGAGGACCTGGGTTTGAATATCTAGCATCCATGTATAAATTGAACATGGCCATGTATGCCTGAACCTCAGTGTTCAGATGTTGAGATAGGCAGATCCTGGGAGCTGCCTGGGCAGCCAGCCTAGCTGAAATGGCAAGATCCAGGCTCAACGAGGGTGACCCTGCCTTGAGGGAATAAGGTGAAAAGCAACAGACCAACACATCTGATGTCTTTCTCTGGCCTCTATATGTGAACATGAGTGCATGCATCTGTGTGTGTGTGTGTGTGTGTGTGTGTGTGTGTGTGTGTGTGTGTGTGTGGTATGCACATGCGTGCTTGCATGTGCATGTACACACACATACACAGCTGTGAAAGTGACAGCAGACTCAGCCTAGTGATACATCAGGAAGACTTCAGTGGAAGAGTGACATTTAAATAACACCTGGAAGATGGGCAGGACTGGCTTGCCAAAGAAAGGAGCAGAAGATTGGGATAATGGCATTCACCCTTTCTCCTGGAATTAATTGCCTTCTCTCTGTGTGTCTGCCCTGGCTCCCCTTCCTGTAATAATTTTAGCAATTTCAATTACTTATGGCTAATCTCACTGATAAACCTTTGAAAAATAAATACAAACGCAGGTCTACTTGGCAATAAAAAGAGCCGAGAGGAGGGAGGCCAGCTGTGTATATCTACCCTCCTGAAGCAGGAGAGCCTGGGACAGGACGTGGCAGGGTAATTACTGCAAGGCTTGCTGGGACCTGGCTACAGCTCGTGACAAAAAAGACCTAAACAGAAGCTGCTTCTGTGGGCCACGTGGGGCCTCCGTCCAATGTGTCATTCTCTTTTTACAGGAAAGAGTCCCATCCCCACGACATTGTGAATTGGATTGCTCCCAGTATACAGAGAAACAAGTCCAAGGCTTAGGAAGACCCTAGGAGATAACACGCCATGCAACCCCACAGCATACAGATGGAGCACCTAGGCTCAGCAAGAAGGAATGGCTTGTGGAGACAAAGGGATGACTGAGCGAGACGGTTAAGAGCTAACTGTCTGGCTTTATGTTCTGGCTCCACTATAAGCAAGAGACCAAGTCATTACCAGCCGCGGCTCTTGTAAATGGGAACAAAATAGCTGTTTCTGCTGGAGTTGATGTGAGTCTTACATGAGAAAATAACCACGGTGTAGTGTTTACAGAGCCCTGCATAGAGAAGTCATTCAATAAACAGCAAGTACACTACCTATCACGGTTACCCAGCATCTGTGGCAGGACTAGCCTGGTGTCCCAGTGGCTTCACTGCCAATCCCGGGGCTCCTGCTGGCATAACTATTCCTCTGTAGCATCTCTCTAGACTCCCCCCAGGGAAGAAGTCCGAGGAGCTACTGCCTATAGATGCACCCCACAATGGCAGCAGCATAGAAATGGTGGTGATGACAGAGATCCAGCCTGCCTGTGAGGGTGGAGGCAGCCCAGGCTCCGGGTGCCTGCGATTTCTTGCTTTTCATTGACATTCCACAAGACTCTTGTCTTTATCCGTAAATCTCTGCACTTCTCCCCACCAAGGCAGCAGCTCCCCCCATCGGCCCATCGGCTCCTCACCTGTCTGAGCTCTCTGACAGTAGATTAGGGTGATCTTATCTTCCCTATTATGGAGTGATTGTAGCTCTGGCTGGGTTCATTAGGAGCCGGAGAACCCCTCCAGATTTATTAGTTCAAATCTAGCTTCCTCCATCACATCTTCTCTTCAGACACATCCACCACAGTAGCAGACAGGGCGTTGCCCAGAGCCTTAATTCTTCATGTCCTGTATCCAACTTGCAAGTATCTTGTGAAACAAAGGTTCCTCCAACCACAGCCAAAGCCAGGCTGGAGGACAGAGACTCCATTCTATTCCATTCAGTGGCCAAATCGAGTTATATCCATAACTGGTCTGTGTGCACCCCATCTAGGCAGGCACACTCTAAGCCCCCAGAAACCTTGGTTACCAGGGAGCTAACAGGTGTTAACATCTACTCTTAGGAACAGTTATCCTTTAAACAGACAAGCCAGTTGCTCTTGCAGCATACACAAGAGAGATGTGCAGTGGCAATGAGTAATTCAGCAATGTGGCAGAGATTCCTTGCTAATGACAAAAATCTATTTCCCCTTCATCATAGGCACACAGAAAACTACATTTCCCAGACACCTTTGCAGGGATGTGCAGCCATGTGGTGAGATTTAGTCAACAAAATTGTAAGAAGTGATCTGAACTGCTTCAAGGCTTGACCCATAAATTACTCTGTGTATGAACCTCCATGTTTTTTCCCCACCCCTGGCCTCTTTGGAAGCACATTTATAAACTAGAAGATGCTTGTGACCTAAATGCCCTTATCTGAGGTCATAACTATCAGGGACTCCCTTGTGGAACTTCCAGTAAAAAATGTGCAATCTGCCTTCTATATCTGTGGGATTGACACCATGGATTCATCCAACAGCTGGCTGAAAACAGTCAAGGGACAATTAGGTCTGTGCTGAATATGCACAGATACTTTCCTTGTCACCGTTCCCTAAATGATGCCATATAATAATGATCAGCATTTACATTATAGTAGTATTTATCTAAAGATGGTTTAAAGTATATGGGAGAAAAAGCTACACCATTTAAAGGAGACACTTGAACATCTGCATTTTTTTGGATTATTAACAAAGGGTTTAGAATCCATCCCTTACCCATAGTAAGGGACTACTGTGCTTGCCCTACTGTGTGAAGCTGTGGGGTTTGTGGGTTGATTAGTTGTAGCAGTTAGCACCGTCTCCTGGCTACAATGCCACCTCCAGCTATTTTTAAATTCCTACTAAGAGACTTTAAAGACAGGCATTACCACTATTCACATCTTTACTGATGAAGAAACTCCAAGGAGCCCCCGAGTCCACACAAGTCCCTGAAAGCAACAGAAGCAAGGTTTCCCACATGTCCATCAGGGCTGGGCTCTTAAACAGCAGCTACTTTCTCTTATTACTAAGCTTCTTCATTAGAAGGGCCCTTGACTACACCTGTGGGGTCTTGACTCTGCCAATCTGCAAACTCTAACTAGAGAGAATAGGCATACAACACTTCCCACCCACCAGAATGGCTCTTATTAAAAAGTGAAAAATCAGAAACATTGGCAAGGTTGTAGTGAAAGTCAAACCCTTGAACATTGCTAGTGGGAATGAAATGTGGTGCAATCATTCTAGAAAACAGTTTGGCAATTTCCCAATAAATTAAAATGTGATGGCTGTCTAGGTCAGTGAGTTCTCTCCTTAGGAACATACCCAGAAGGAGGAAGCAGAAACTGGGACAGATATTTGCACACCCATGTTCATGGGACTATTAGCCATAATACCAAGCAATTCGCGGACTCGCTGATGGGTTAATGGATATGCAAAATGCACCATAGTATATTATTCAGCTTGAAGGAGGATGAACCTTAAAGACACTGATCTACATCAAATAAGCCAGACACAAAGGATAAATACTGTATGATTTCATTTTCATTGTAGCACAGAGTCATGTTCACAGAAAGAATGTAGATGTGTGTTGGGGATCAGGGGAGGGCTGGGAGGAGAAGGGGACCAGAGCATCTGTGTAATAAGTACAGAGCTTTGCTTTGGGAAGACGGAAAACACTGTAGAGATGGAGGATGATGATGGCGACACAAAAATGCAAAAATGCCACACTGAAGATGGCTAACATGGTAACTTTTACTATGAGTATTTTTTATCATAATAGAAAGATAGGGTTTTTTGTTGAAAAAAATGAAACAAAATTTTCTGACACATGGTACAATATGGATGTACCTAGAAAATGTTACACCGAGTGAAATAAGCCGGTCAGGATGAAGTGAGTCACCTACAAGAGGTGACTTCACAGGCAGGAGAGAAGAACAGAAGTTGTCCTGGCTGGGGGAGAAGGGACAGGAGCTACTATTTTTGGATTTCCTTGGGTTTTAGAAATGGTGGTGATGGCTTATATATGGGAATATGTCAACACCACTGAATTGCAAACTTAAAAAATATTTAAAATGGAAAATTTGATGTTATATATCCTTTTCCTCAGGAAAAAACACGTAGGAAGGAAGCATAGAAGAGAGAGGAGAGACGGCTGAGTGGCTTCTAAACCAGGGCAGGCTCCAGTTCTCCAGTTCACTTTGCACGGCGATTTTGTTTGCTCTGCTTTGCCCATTGCTTGGACCATGATTGCTCACTTCAGCCTACCTCCTACCTGTCCTGCGGCCCGGCCTTGCTTCCTCCTTCCACAGTCATCACCTCTGTCCATGCGCACCCCTGGCTTTCTGTGACTTCTCATATGTTGTGATCTGAGCCCCCTGAGCCAACCCTGTGCCCCAGGGGTCCCACAGCGTCCAGGTGCTAATCCCACCTACTAAGTCCTACCTACTGAGTCAAGAGTCCCCTGAAACTGACTCTTGACTCATCAGAACCATGAGTGGGGACAAGAAGTTGCTTCACTGGTTGATCAAACCACCAATCTGAGCACCCCCAAATCCATCTTGAAATTGATGCAAGAATGAAAGTCCCCTTGCTGTGTGCTGTGACTTAGCACTGTAAGCATCCAAATACTTCTGGTCACTAAGCTGCTATTCTGGCCAGAGCAGGGGCACTGTCCCAAACACAGGCCTCCAGTTTAAGTGTCTGTCCCTCTGTCACTGAGCTAGGCTTCCCCTGGATCCATCAGCCCAGCTTCTAAACCATAGACTGGTTCTGATGAAGCCAAGAGTGGCCTCGTTTTTTTTTTTTTCCTGGCTCAGCAACACTTCCTACATCGATTCCTCCACGCCACTCAAAATTTAAGGTTGGCACGCACACTCTCCCCAGTGTCCAGGCCCTAAGTAAGAAAGAAACTGAGCTTTGTATAACATGAACAGGGTTCAGTGAATTGATAGCTTAATGTTTAATTTATGACTGGTCATTTTGTCCCAACTCTTACTATAGGTAATCAACAGATTGAACCAAAGCTTTCAGTTTAATTCATTTATTACAGATGCCCTATGTCAATCAGTGTTCTTAACACCTGGATGGAACTGAGGCACAGGGACCTGGTCAATACTCAGCAATTACTGATGCACACACAAACATCCTTCAACGGCAAGTACGCTCATGGGTAATAACTGAACTACTGGGCTGTGTTCATTCTCTGGAAACAAAACAGTATTTTAGGGATCGTTCTTTAGGAAGTAAAATATGTGTTTCCCGTTCCTTTTAATCCACCAGAAGCAAAGCCAAGACTCTTTGCAATAATAACTCCCTTTATTAAACTCATATTGTGAGCCAGTTGCTCTCCTGAGCTAGGTACAGGGCCCACTGACAGAAGAGGTCACCAGAGCTCAGAGAAGTTAAGTTGTCTGCACAGGTAGCTGCTTGCACTAGAAGGTTAAAGGCCTGTCTATCAATACCCAGTCTGGGTCTTTTCCAGTTCTCCATGCTCGCACTAGAAGGTTAAAGGCCTGCCTATCAATACCCAGCCTGGGTCTTTTCCAGTTCTCCATGCTGGTTTTCAGGAGGCAGATCTGAGAACTCACATCGCTGTAGCAGAGGCCAGAGAGAAGAGTGAGATGGGGGTTCCCTGGCGACCTGAGAGAGGGAGTGAGAAAGAAGGAAAGCCAGGTGCATCGGTGTGGAGGACGGAGATAGAGAACGCTGCTCTACTTCCAAACTCCAAAAACTCCATGTCTGGCCCTAAAACAATGTTTTACTCCTACTGGACCTGCTCCTGCTGGAAAGCCAAGGCACTAATGAGAAGCTTCCAGAACATTCTCTCACTGATTGATATCTGCAGTGTTCCTACTTCTGTTTTTCTTGACTGTTTCCCAGGCAGCATCCCTCAAATGATGAGATGTCTGTTTCCCGCCTTGGAAACTCACAGTCAGACATGAGTCCTGTTAATTTCAGGTGCAAAGGACTCTGACTGAGGCAGAGCACAGAGCTATTCTCGAGCCATGCCCACCAACAAGGAGGAATGCTCTGAGCAGCAAAAGCATCCTCCTGCTATGTAAAACAATACAGCTCCTTGGGGGCACAGAAGGTTTTGCATATACTCATTGCATCTGCATAGCAACATCATGAGGTTGTTATCTCCAAAATGAGAAAATGGGGGCCCTGAGAGCCTGTGCAGCCCACCTAAAGTCACCCCGTGAGGACAAGGAACAATGAGGACTTGGTACCTGCGGCTCCTGATTTGACAGTGCATTTTTTTCCAACTAGAGAACATTGTCACCCTCCAAGAAGAGAGAAGGATGATACACAGTATGGTGGATGCTGTCTTCCTAAACACCCAAGTCAGCAACCCCATCTATTTCAGACTACTGCCGGGGAAACTCCTTCCTTCTTCTGTTTGCTGAGTGGTTCCAGACATGGAGGTGCCCAGCTCCATCCTTAGCTGCTGCTGCTGCCTGATGCAAGGTGCCTCCCTGGCAGGCTGGCACAATGCAGACAACCTCACCCCTCATTCGCCTGCCTTTCTTCCCTCCCCTCTCCGTTCCCATCCCCACCCTGCTCACAGGAGGAAGCACTGTACTTTAATCTCTTTCCTCTCCTGCCAGCTTGCCCAGGCTGCCCCAGATGCCTCCTCTCCTAAAGCAAACCCATTTGCATTGCTGTGGGAATAGCCTAATCCTCTTCTCCCCTTTTACATGTTAATTCTCTGATTTACAGCTGCAGTGTTAGATAGAAAGAAAAAAAAAACAAAAAACCAAGCATGGCAAACAAAGGAATTCACTTCATTCTATTTTACATTTTGAGGGGGGTGGGAGGGCTTCTGGGGTGCTGGTGATATTCTATTTCTGGATGTAGAGGCTGCTTACACAGGTGTGCTCTCTTGGAGACAGCTCTTTGCTCTATGCATATATAATATGCATGGCGTTTTGTAAGCACACCAGACTTCAATAAACAATCCCATGGGCTAAGCGTTGTGGCACACACCTGTAATCCCAGCACTCAGGAGGCTGAGACAGGAGGATTATCATGAATTCTGAGGCCAGCCTGTGCTACAAAAGTAAAACCAGATATAACAAACCCCAATGTTAACTATAAGTCATCTTTAATGAGCCAACCACATACTCTCAAGTCCAAGCCATGGGGAACAACTTCCTGGCAAACCCTGGTGGAGGGAGACCCTGTGCCAGAAGGAAGGGATTGCTTCATTCCTTTACAGGCTTTCAGTTCTGGAAATTTGGCCCACCAAGTCACAGGGCTTGCTAGTAGGAGCCTCTACGGGCTGAGTCATCTAGCCAGGCCCAGGCTTGGTTTCTTATTCCAGTTTCAATCCCTCATTCCTGGCCAGTACCTGATTTACAAGAACTACTCAAAAGGGGTCACATCTGGATGAAGGGGGTACCTAGAAACATTGTTTGAATGTAAGCTCTTCCTCAGAGCTCTTGTGTTTGAACACTCGGTCCCTGGCCAATACTGCTTAGGGAAGTTGTGCAGTCCCTGAGAGGTGGGGAGTCTAGCCGGAAGAAGTAGCTCACTGAGGGCTGGGCCCTATGGATTACAGCCTGGCCCGACTTCCAGCAGGATCTCACTCTTTTGGTTGATCTTTGGAAAAACAGGTTGTGCTGCAAAGCTCCACCTCTCCACCCTGAGTTCCAGACACCATGCCTTCACCACCATGATGGACTGTCCCCTCCAATGGTGAGCCACAATAAACCCATCCTCTGTTAAGCTGCTGTTTCTCAGGCATTTGGTCACAGCAGTGAGAAAAGTCATGATTACCCCCCAGTCAAGGATGCATAAAATAATATAAACTTCCATGATAGCATGCTGAGGATAATCAAAATACCTCCCAGCCTGTGAGCAGTTAACTGAGCAAACTGTGGTACAAGTAAACCCCAGAGCCTACCCAGCAGTAAAGATGCCACCACCCAGATGGGTTCCCAGGGCTCTCCACCATGTGAACATGTCAGCCACAGAAGGTCACACACTGTATCACTTCCCTCAAACTATAAAGTTGGAAAAATGGGGTTAGGTCAGTGGCTTCTAAGGATTAGAGATGGTAGGAAGGGGTGTGGCAGTGGCAGGTATGACCATAGAAAAGTGGCATAAGGTAAGTCTTGTGCAGGTCAAGTTGGTAAACAAATGTATGCAGCTAGCTTTACAACTTCTTAGAAATCTTATCATTTATTCTTAAATTAAAACTTGTACATTTTTAAAGATCTTATTTTTAATTATACGTTTTTGTGTGTTAGTGTGGGCATGTGAGTGTAGATGCCTTCAGAGGCCAGAAGAGGGCACCAGAGCCCCTGGAGCTTAGATACAGGCGGTTGTGAGTCACCCATGTGGGTGCCAAACTTGGGGCCTCTGCAAAACCAATATGTGCTCTTAAGCTCTGAGCTATCACTCCATCACTACTAAAGAACTGACTACACACACACACACACACACACACACACACCACACACACACACACACACTACACACACACACACCACATATACCACACACACACACACACATGCGCCCGCACGCGCAGTTAAGGCCTACAAGGCGGAGAGATGAGCCAACCTGGAGTCTGCCTTGCCCTGGCAGAGGTCCTGATCATTCTTAGCCAATGAGGGACCACCATGTGATGACAACAGCTTGGAAAG